TGTAGATAACAGCAATGTTATGTTTGTCCATACTGCCTCCTGTTGCTGCTGTTACGGAGAGTTCCAGCAGGTGTCGCTGTGGTTCTCTCTGGGGGTTATGTGTACTTCCGGTTACGAGTGTACAGACGTTCATGTTGGCTGCTAATAAAACGCCTGGCATACAATTACAGCGGACTGATTATTATAAGCAAACCTACAGTTTCCAAGGATAGTAGGCGGGCCCAGGTACGTACGTTCTTTTAGAGCAGAGCTACAAATGTGCACGTTAGCATATGCTACTTCCGGTGCGGAAACTCCTGTGGGGAGCTTTGTTTCCGGTGTCCTATTCGTGCCCTGTTTACGGTCCAAAACAAGTTAAGCAAATGAATAAATAAAGCGGCGATTTACATTTCTATAGATGTCTCGGGCATTTACCCAATATATCTGTAAATGATGTTCATCGACTTGTTGATATTTTTCCCCTGCGCCTCAGAGCAAAAGAGAAAATGGATTCAAATGTTATATTTCTCAGCTGTCCCTCATTTATCTCGGGTGTTATGTTCTAAAAAATAACCAGCGATAGGTGAAATCAAGTAGCCAATTTTATTTTTTGACGGTGCAAAACGTTTTGTGGACATCGTGGACATACAGTACTGCACTTCAGAGTCACACTGCTAGCGATCGATGCAGCGATTCTGTACTGTACAGGAGAGACGTCACTGAGGAGATCGTCTGCAGCGATCAGGACATAAAAAAAAGCATGCAACAAAAAACTTGCACTAAAAAATCTGCGAAACAGCGAGGTGAAAGGTGAACCGTGTTATAGCAGGGACCGCTGTAATTTTGAAGGTAAGTCACAACATACCCTTCGTAAAAACTAATGTATAGAAACCCTTACCAGCAATCATTCATTTTTTGTGTGGCTTTTTTCATGGTTTGTTAACATGCTGTGTGGGTGTGTACCTGACTAGCTGATATCGACACATCTGGTTATTCTTTTCTATTCTATTCTTCACCTGTAGTTTGAATGCTGAACATTTGCCTGTTTAAATCATAAGACCAGTCACTATACAGAGATGTGCTTCTGAATGTGGATGATGTGTCTTCTGCATGCAGTAATGCAGTTCTGCTTGTGTTGAGTGATGTAAACAACTGATCGATTTAAACTCTTTAAACGTCAAAATTGATCATTAGATTTTTATGACACAAGTGAGGTGAGTGTTCCCACCTTCTCCTCTTTGTAACTTAACGCGATCTTTCCGTTTTCGAGTTTTGGACATCAATTTTGGAGTATATCTTCGCAGTAGCGATTGACCGCAAAGTAAAGCTACCGGAAATGTACAACCCCACATCCGGTCTCAAACCAGGAAGTTAGCATTTTCTCGTGCACAGGGTCAATTAAAAGTGCCCAAGGCGAAGTGGTCAAAGTCTGGCTGTACTTCACAGCAAAAGATGCAAACTCAGCAGCCTGCAACTATGGCGTTATTTTTGTGCCACTATTCTGAGCACACGTAAAATAAATTTTGAGCACAAGTAAAAAAGAGTTTGCAGGTGCAAGTGTTGCATTTTGAGGAGAAATTTATTTTGAGCGAAGAAAAGCTAAATTTGAGTGAACAAAATTCATTGCTGCGTGCAAAAAATGTATTTCAGTGTTTGCTATTATCCATACACACACACAATAGCAGCCCCTCAGTTTTTGTATTTGCACTGGCTCATAATGTGTTGCTATTTCTGCCGTGCGTGCTCAACTGTGTACACCGTTATATTTGTGCCAAAAAACCAGCCAATCACAGACTTGGATGCAAAAATACCTGATTGGCTGTTCTGGTCTCCAATCAGCTCGAAATGACGAAATGCAATATCCCAGAATCCATTTTGTCTACAGCTCAAACGAGGCAGTGGCGGAGGAACACAGAGTGGCGGAGTTTGAAATATTACTCTTTCTGGGTCACAAAATAAACTTCTAAGATATTTTCATGCAAGAATGGTGCTGTGTGAACTTCAAATACCTGCTCGATTCATCAAGACATCACATATTTGCAAAAGTGCTCTATTGTGTGTAGCTTTTGTTTTATACAGTTGTCAGTCAGGCATTTAACTATGAAACAAATTACACTCCCAAAAGACCCTGGGCTTCTGAAACAACAACCTGGGCTTAAGCCAAGTAAGCCACCCCCCCACCCGCCGATGTGCTGAACTGGTACTTGTTGGTAATTTCTTCCAGAAAAAGCATGTCCTGTAGGATGGAGCAGCTTCAACCATAGCTGCTATCTCCTCTCGGAAAGCTTTGGTTCCTGGGATGCAGCCAGAAAGGACTGCAGAGACAGAGGAACAGATCTGGTGGTTATTGACAGCGCTGAAGAACAGGTACTGTGTTTATGGATATGAAGGTCCAGGAGTGACAAAATGAACCTACCATGAAATAATTAATTAAATAATTAATTATTTCATTAATTAAATATTTCATTAATTAATTACAATTTGAATTAATTAAATAAATAAATATTTCATTAATAATTAAATGCATATTCATTTTATTAAAAAACATTTACTAAATTATTCATTTATTTCAAATTGTATTCAATTAATGACATGTTTGAGTAATTAATTATTGACATATTTAATTAATTATGTCATGATGTATTTATTAAATTTTTTTCATACTTAATTAATTAATTAATTTAGTGTGAAAATTATTAATTATTTATTAATTATTTATTTATAAATAAATAATTATAGATAAATATTTATTTATTTATTTCAGATTGTAAATTAATTAATTAAATGCTATTTGAAATGAATAAATAATTGATTAAATGTTTTAAATGAAATGAATTGGCATTTATTAATTATTTACATATTTATTTGACTAATTGATTCAATTTTTTATTAATTAATGAAACATTTAATTATATATTTACTGGTGTCTTTAATTCGTTCATTTTGTTACCTCCTGGCCTCATGTATGGTTGTATTATTGTGGTGTAAATTAACATAGAAGTTAAAAACTTTGTTCAGTTTTGAAAAAAAAAATTAACTTTTAGAATTTAATCAGCACATATCTAGACATTAAACCAGGTAACAAAATTGATAGTTTTGCTTCATTGAGGGGAAAAACCCTATAACTAAAATACATTTTCTGTTTTGTTTTTTTCTTATTTGGTGGTTCTTATTTTTTTACTATTAGTTTTAATATTAAAAAATGAACATTTTTCTTAATGTTAACACAATCAGAATAAAGTTAAAAAACAATGATGAATATGGTTATTTTAAATTATATTTGCTGAATTAAAGTGCATCAGCAAAATCTCTTCAAATCTTTTATGAACCTTTTTCCTTCAGAAAAAGGTTATACGTTTTTATAAAAAAAAAAACAGCCTGTTGATAGTGGGGCCAATCAGAAGCTGCCAGGTCAAAGCCAACCCAAAACAGCTCACCCAAGGAGGGGCCTGCTGAGACTTTTAAAGGCACAGTACACACATATGAAAAACAATACAGACATACTGACACACACTGATCCTGTATATGGCCAGGGCCGTAACACCACTGAGAGAATATATTAACATCTTGATCACCTTGTTTAGACAGCATCAACAAGTTTTTGATGACAATGATTTATTGATTTTTGGGGAAAAAAAACATGACAAATGAATGAAAGGTTTGAGTGATTTACAGCATGCTGCAGGTTAACTAGAGTGATTTACTGTATGAGTTGTTGTTTGATGTAGAGCAGTATAAATACAAACAGCTACCACTGTATTACTTTACTGCTGAACAAATCCTTTAAACCAGAGTAATCTAAGGCAAGTTCTGAAGTTGTGAAGCCATGTCACTGCTGTCCCATTAATCTGTTGTACAGTATTACAAAGCTTTTATGACTTAAAAAACACATAAAAAGGATCAGGAAAAGAAGCCTGTGATGGCCAAATTTTTACTTTGGCCAAAATACAGACATTTAAACCTTTGAACAAAACGTTGATCAGTCTGCATCAAACACATTTAACTGCACATACCATAACTGGATGGAAGAGCTTCAAAACGTGTCCTAGAATTAGGACACGTTTAAAATTAAAATGTTTTTCAGTATTAAAGTGAAGCCAGTGATAAAGCAGGACATTCACTGGTGCACAGAACGTAGCATTAAATTCATTTGAATCAACTAACAAATTGTGGTATGATTTAGCTACAGTGAATTAGCTTCAGCTGTGGTGTACAATTTAAAGACTAAACAATTGTATAGAGTTTGAAGAATATTTTAATGCAGAATATATGTACATTTTACTGTAATAAAAAAATATTTTTACTGAATAAAAAAACTGATCAAACTAAAATGTAAATAATTTAAAGAAAATTGTACAACAAATATTTATGCAGTGACAACAGAATGACAACAGACAGCAAATAGATGTTGATGGATCAGACCAGAGTGATGGATCTACAACAGCTGCACAGATACAGTATAATCACAAATCATAAAAACTAGTGTTGTCAAAATGAACGCGTTAATTGTTGAGATCAACGTGAAAAATGTAACACAAATAGGGCAGTTTTTTTTTTTTTTTTTTTACATTTCCTGTAATCTAAGACCTTTAAACTCATGAACAGCTCTGCAGGAAGGGGCAACATTGTGCTATGCTGGCGTTTAGCTTGACAGAAATGGTTAGAAGAAGAAGTGATACCACGCTACTATAGCTAAAACATGCAAGCATGGACGAGGATGGACTTTTGGGTGGAGAGTTTCTCTTTAAGAAGTTGCCTGACGGCCTGATGGACAAAACGAGAGTAAAGAGCACAATTTGCAAAGCTGATTTCAAGTACCACAGAAGCAGTTTATCACTGGTGTATCACCTGAGAGCAAAACACCCAACTGAATCCGCCTCTATGGGACCTTGCCAGTCTACGCTTCAGGAGTATGGTGCTCATGGATGAATAACAAAAAATGTGAGAGAAAAATTAACCAATTCCTTGGAAATTTGGATAGCTAAAAACTGCTGACCAGTTAGCATAGTAGAAGATGACGGACTGAGAGAAGTCATTCGCGCTGCATCAGGAGATGTGTGTCACAATCCGCCCTTGAGAGGAACCATTGTGTCGAGACCACATGCTTTGTATGAGGACCAGATGGGTCAGGAGTCCAGCAATTGATTTTTCAATTGCAGATATGTGACCGAACTGCTGGGGGGAGAGTGGTATGTCTCCTGTTCCGTCATGTTGTCAGCCTTGAGTCATTTGTTCAGGATTATGGAGCCCTCAGATGATGACCCAGTTTCTGTTTTGGGGTTTAAGAAGGTTTTTACCACAAACCTAGCTCAGTGGAGGGACAGTAGCAATCTCACATGGCTGAAGATCTCTACTGCCCTTGATCCCAGGTTTAAAGACCTTAAGTGCCTTTCCAAAGATGAAAGAAGAGAGGTGCGGGCTTCAGTACATGACCTTCTGATGGCAGAGACGCATGCACACCAACCATTTGCTCAGACAACAGAGGAACCATCACCAAAGAAGAGCAAGATATCCATCTGCTTGCTGGGTTCTTCTGATTCAGATACAGAGGAAGAGGAAATGCTATAGACTGCTGTCTGAATCAGTACAAAGCAGAGCCCAAAATTGACGTAGGAGAGTGTCCACTACAGTGGTTGTTAAAGAGAGAAGGAGCACATGCCAGGCTGGCACCTATTGCACACAAGTACCTGCCAACCCCTGCAACCACAGTGCCTTGTGAGAGCTTATTCTCACTCTCAGGTCACATCATTCAAAAGAAGCGTGCTTCTTTGTCATCAGATAATGTAAACAGAATAGTCTGTCTCAGTAACTGGCTTAGTGCAAAGAAGGACTAAGCCAAATTGCTCCTTTGGAAGGAAAAATGTTCAACATTCTGGGTTTTCAGCTGTGTCTTTTTCTGTTTTAAATACTGAGCTTTGTGCACCCTTTATGGTTATGGTATTCTGTTATGGTATTCACTTTAACCTTTAGGCCGGGGTTCAGTAACTGTTGATGACCTTGAAGGTTTTTTAAGTTTTCACTGTGTTAAAGATTGATGAAAACTATTAAAATTCACTTTGAATTTCAGCATATATTCTTTGTGTTTATTCTGCATTTACTTCATTGTATTGCATAAATGTCTGTTACAACCTTAAAATATAAAGCTGAAAAAATGTAATTGGAGCCAGGCTATTGATCAAGAAATTGCGATTAATCACAATTAATATTGATTAATAACAGAAAATTGTGAGATTAGTTAGTTAATCTTTTTTAATCTATTGACACCACTAATAAAAACTTAAAACACCTAGCGTGCAGCAGCTTCAAGGATGGTGCATAATGTAGCTATAAGACCCTTTAGATTTACACAAAGTGATAGCATCAATGATAACAGTTTTATTACACACTAGTTCAGATCAGACAAATAAGCTACTTACTAAAGACAGCCTGTAACATCCTCCTCTCCTGTCCACTCCACAGATTGACTGTTCGGAGAATATGTAACATTATTTAGATGAATTACAGTGGCGCCTGAACCACAGTCAGTGAAGCTCTGCAGCCAGATGTGTACAGCTGTGTTTGACTGATCAAAGAGCATTCAAAGGCAGCATCATAGGCACAGTTTACATTCATTCACATTTTATAATAATAAGTTTATGCAGTTTTTTCTTTTTCTTGAGAATCATGCATTATCCTCATTATAATTATTTTTTTAAATCATAAAAGCTATGTTGTACACCAGATTAAGCGGACAGTTTGAAGTATTTGTTCAGCAGTAAAGTAATCCAGTGATAGTTATCTGTATTTCCACTACGCAGGAAAAGAATAACTGTTGATAATTATTTGGCAAACATTTTGTTCAAATTGTAAACAAATAGCAGTGTATGCAAAACAGACAATCTTTGTGTGCAAAGGCTTCTTTTTGCATGCTCTAGCATGAATTTAGGAGCAAGGAATTTAACACGCCTGTGAAATGAAATTATTTGCTATGATTATGTTTCTTCCCAGGTGCAACTTATGACATAAAATAATTCTATAGTTTATAGATAAAATATGCAGATGAAATTGGGGTTTAAAAGTAAAATGTTTTCTTTTCATATTAAATAGACCTTTCTCTCTACAATCACCACAAAAAAACGCTTGGATTGGTTTAAATGACAAAGAACAGGAGGGAACATGGAAATGGGTAGATGGAACTCCACTGACTCTTACGTAAGTCTTCACTTTGGTTCAGTTTATTACTTTACTAGTTCATTCATTACTATTATATTTCCAAAAGATTTCCAAACTTTTTTTCCACACTGGGCCAAGGCAGTAGTTATTATATCAGTCAAGATGTTTGTGCAGTCTGTGCGTGTGTGTTTCTCTGTATACTTTGTGTAGTAAAAGTAAAATAAAATATATATTTAGTTTTATCTGTAATTTGGTGATCTTAATGTACAGTGTGTTTATAAAAACTCAAAGCTGCTGATGGAAAATCAGTCTGAGAAAACTCCTCACACAAAAACCAAAGACAAAGGCTCATTTTCCCTTCAATAATAATAAAAAATAATGTTGTTGTCACTGACCTGCTAGGTACTGGGACCCAACACAACCTGATAATGGTGGAAGACAGAACTGTGCTTATGTCACAAAGGATGAGAGAAGATCTTGGGATGATGATTGGTGTTTGATACAATATCGCCAATGGATCTGCGAAAAAACACCAAACCCAAGTACAGTTTCTTTAAGATGATTTATTCATAAATGTTTTGAAGTTTTATCTCTGATTGTAATTCTAGATATTAATTGTCCTTGCCCTGTTTTATTTTATAATATGATGTGCTTTGTTGTGGCTAACATAAAAACACCAGCATGGCTAAATATCAAATCAAATCACTTTTATTGTCACATCACATGTGGAGGTACACTGGTACAGTACATATATATAAGTATATAAGTATATAAGTGGTTTTGTTTGGGGTTTCTGATTGCTTTTTATGCTAGTGTTTAATGTTGTCATTGTTGTATTTGTTAAATGTTTTTATTACTAGATTGTAAGGTTTTTTGTGTTATATTATGGTTATGATTATTATTCTTACTATTGAGTCTCAAGCGATTAAACTATGCTTAGATCTTTGTGATCAAGTCTTTGGAGGACTTTAATTAATTAAACAGAAATCAAATAAGAATTGTTATACAGTTCAGAAAAAAAAAATTCAATAACTCAAATATTACTTGTTTGTAATTTCTTCCAGATAAAACATGTCCTGTAGGATGGAGCAGCTTCAACCATAGCTGCTATCTCCTCTCTGAAAGCTTTGGTTCCTGGGATGCAGCCAGAAGGGACTGCAGAGGCAGAGAAGCAGATCTGGTGGTTATTGACAGCCCCGAAGAGGAGGTATAGTGTTTATGTATGTGTGTGTTATTGAGATGTAAATAAATTTGCAATTCAAGCTCCTATTTTTTAATGTAAATAGCTTTTTCTGGTTTTTAAAAACAAGGAAATGTTTCTATTAATCTTTCAACATTTAATCAACACATATCTAGACCTTAAACACTGAAACAACTATAATTCTGTCACAGTGTGAGACAGACACTTTTTAGACAGATTAGATTGCTCTGATTCTATACAGAATTTAATGAAACCCTTTCCATTTTTGCTGAATAGTTTTCATTTCAAAGTATACATTTTTTTGTAGTGTTAACACAAAATAAAGTAAAAAAAAATCATGAACATTTTAAAACATGTTTAATGTACTAGAGTGTATCACAGAAATCTGTTTAGACAGAAATTGTATCGGGGAAACAACCTGTCAGTGGAAGAAGACGCGGAGGAAGAATAAGGAAGTGTGGCAGTGTAGCAAGGATAAGGAAAACAGGATATGGAAAAGATGCCAACGAATGCAGGGGATGCAGCATACATTGCAGGAAAGAGCATTTGCTATGAGGCATTTCTCAAGGGGCAGGAGTGACAGGAAGTCCAGTAACCTACAGAATACTATTGCACTATGTTTGGTTTCCACAGCACATGATTTTTGGTTGTGATGTTCTATGTTTTAGTAAAAATGTGTATTAGATTTATGACATGAGCAGACACCTCTAATAGTCCACGGACAGTATATATTAACATTTTGACCACACTTGTTTACACAGTATGAAGAGATTTTGGTGGCAATGACTTATTGATTGTTGAAAAAAATATGACAAAAAGAATTAAAGATTTGAATGAGTGAGAGCTGTCATTAAATGTATCTTCAGTGTTGCACGAAATGCGTTAAAGAAAATTCAAAGTTTTAATTAGTGCTGGCTTTGGATTTTTAAAAGAGACTTTTAGATACAATAAACTGCATAGACTAAAACTGTGTTCGAAAGTAAAATAAACGTTTTTCCTTCATATTAAACAGAACTTACTCTCTAAAATCACCACAGAAGTTTGGATTGGTTTGAATGACAAAGAACAGGAGGGAACATGGAAATGGGTAGATGGGACTCCACTGAATCTGACGTAAGTCTTCACTTTGGTTCAGTTTATTTCTTAACATAGTAAATTTGTGAAAACCCGATGGTGGTTATTAAACACAATGGTGAGCTTACATGTCAGTGGGTGGATCCCAACTGCATGACCAAAAGTTTAAAGATGTGTGCTAATGACTTGTTTTGGCCACAGGGGGTCAGAATAATTTCTGAACTAGTGTGCTTTGCCATCTGCAGAATTTATGCAAGGGTGATTAAAAACCACCATGTCCTGAAAAGGCAAACCCAAAACTTTATTTTTCTCATCCCCATTGTTATTTGAAATTTGGTGATTATAATGTACAGTGTATTTATACTCAGTTAAATTAATTACAGCTGCTCTGACACCCCCCCCCCTCACACACACACAAGCAACACACATCTTGATTTCAAGATCATTTTTGTTGCTGACTTGCTAGGTACTGGGCAAGAGGTCAGCCTGATAATGGTGGAGAAGAGGACTATGTTCATGTCTTTCGGGGTAGAAAAAATTCTTGGAATGATCTTTGGTGTTCATCTTCTCATCACTGGATCTGTGAAAAAGTTTCAGAAAACAACTGATTTCAGAAAGATGATCTATTCATAAATGTTTTGCAGTTTTATCTTTAACTGCATTGAGTATAATTCTATATTGCAATTTTAGCCTAAAATGAGGTGTTTGGTCTCTAGGTGTGTGTGTTTTTTTTTTTGTTTTTTTTTAATATATATGTTTACTTTTATAATATACCATATTTTCCGCACTTAAAATCCCTTAATTTTCTGAAAAATTGACAGTGCACCTTCAAAGGCCTGCCACACACAAGCAGTAAACAGTTTTACTGCATGTGGTAAAAACAGAATGTTAACATGGTTGGCCAACAGTTGGAGGAAAGACTTTAGGCCCCATGTCCGGCTCACGTTTCATCTTCTGCACCTTTCGGACATCTCCCTATAAGAAAATGTTGCGTCTGACATTACCATGGCAGCCATCTCTTTTCCTGTAGAGTTCGAGAAGAGGGAAAAAGAGCTTTTCCTAACAACTGATTTATAGTGTTGTTTTGGTCTAATGGAGCCAATGTACCAGTCTACTCTAAGCACCTGTCAATAGAAAATTGTACTGAGTAGTCAGTATAAGCTTTTAGTGATATAAGTTTATTGATGATAGAATACTGCATGATGACCTTTTCCTTGTTTAGAACTGATTGTTCTTTATGAAACGTGTTCTGATATTTGTATCTGAATCTTTCTACAGCGATAGTAAGAAGTTGAACAAGCAGTTCTGACCTTGCACACACACACACACATACATACACACACAATCACATACGCACATGCTCATGTCACTGAACAAATGTATTCATTTCTCTTGTATAAATAAAGAACGCAGACGGTGACAGAGCACAAGTCTGTGAGTGTCTCTTACGTGTAGGAGAGCTCTGTCACTTGTCCTCGCGAGTAAAGACAACTGCAGTGTTTGTGTTTTCTAACTCAAGTGTCTCAGCTGAAGAATTGCGGGGTGATTTTAAGAAATCCCCTTTCAGCACCACTGTGATACTTTCCGGTTGTGGAATGTGTGGTATTCTCTTTTCAAAGCTCTATTCTACGATAAATAACTGTGTGCAGTAAAACATAAAACAAATGTGTGATTAAATTATGAGGTATATAATCTTAGAGATAAAATAAATTCTAACAAGACCAAAATAGAGAGAATTTCATTAGTCCAATTTAGAGGTGAATATGTTTTTTTTCCATGACAGAAGAGCTAACTCCTCATGCCAGCACTCTGCAGTCTTTTCACACCTACAGGCCGGTGATCACTCTTTCAATGACGAGGATGTACATATCCTGTACATGGAGGAATGCTGGTTTGAGCGGGGAGTCACGTAGCTACCTGTCATTTATGCTAAAGGAATGTAACGTCATCGCAACACCAGTCTACTACAAGCACATCACACCACAAACATAACTGCGCTTTTCACTGAACACAATTGGAAAGCCTATCACCCATCGGCATGTCCGCAGGGGAAAAGATATCTCCGTGTTACAGTCTCCTTCACTTACATTTAGTCTTTGTTTTTCCTCACTTCTAATATGAAGTAACCCAGTGAGTAAGAATACTTGAGGAAAAAAAGATCTGCAACTGGGAGACATCCTTTTTCTGTTTTTTTTGTTTTGTTTTGTTTTTTTGCCATTGCACAAATCAACTTATTGTTCCTGCAGACATACTGCTTATGGGATTCCTGATTTTGTGCCAAAAGGTGATTGCCTGTCAGAAACGAACTGCTGTCTATGGGATTGTGCGCAGCTATTGCAGCCACAACATGCAAATAACCACAAGTTAGTGTCCCTGTTATAATAAAGAGTGAAGTATATATTTATGGAATTTAAAAGGTTGCTGGCAGTATATAGCACATTCTCAAATGACAATATAGGCAACACAGTATTATAATTATTGACAGCTTTAGTATCAGAATCAGAATACCTTAATAATCCCTTCCCTTGCCAATAGCTTGGCAATTTGTTGTTTGTTTGTTTTTTTTGCTGATGTCATTTTCTGTAGCATCCTCTTTTTTCGCTTTTTGAAGCCACAGAGATCTTTCAATTAGCTGTGTAAACTGAGAATTAAACAGTAATGGATCCCACTCTGTATGTGCATATTTTGTCATACAAAACCAACTGAACCTTTCCTACAGATTTTTCAAAAAAATAAAATTTGTCTTTGAAGGCCAGGAGCTCTGAGTTTTGATGAGTTTTTAACAAGGAGTACTTTTTACCCTGTAACTGTTATGCTTGCACTAGTCTTTATTTGACACAGAGTTTTAATTGGACTTTAATTAAATGTTGCCCACTTCAGGAGCAAAAGTAGTGTACCATAATTACGTCTCTTGTGTATCACATTTGTCCTAAAACATGTAGAGTGTCTTTTATCATTCCCAAGTGACCATCGTCACCACCATTACTGGAGATGACGTGAGTTGTGATTGGGTGAATGTCATAGGCATTCAACCTAATGAGTTACTGTTTCTTCATTCTTTTCTTTTTAACTATTACCACAATTTTTCTTCTTCACCTGTCCCAAGCGGACAGTTCAGCTTCTTCTGCAGGTCGGTTTAACTAGCTGGGATGAGTGCCGGTTTAGCTCGTGCAAGATGAGCAGGCGTCCTGACAGCAGGTGGCTGGTTCAACTCCTACCAATGACCGTTCAGCCTTTTCACCACTTTTCAGCAGATAGTTCCGCTTTTTCAGCTGTTTTCAGAAGACAATTTCTGCTACACGGCATTTACTTTTTTGCAGGAAATGCACATTTTTCTAGCTTCTTTTAGATTTATTTATTTTATTTTTTTTAGAAAGAAAATAATGTTGCAACAAACAACAAAACACAATTTTAAAGATTACTTCATGTTTAGGGGTGTTGGTTATTGAGCTGTCCTACAAATACAAAAGTCAGCAACATTATGAACCACTGCTCCTGTGTTAAAGTGTTCTCCTGCAAGTAAATAGTGAAAGGCTGTTTTATTTGTTTTGTTTAACTGTAGGTCCAAGCACTTATTCCTTTGACCTATTACAGACGGCCATTTGTACTCTATAAGTTACAAAGGTACATGTCAGTGTCTTAAGGCAAAATGCTGTGTGGGCCCAAAGAGGCAATTGAAGTGTTCATTGATTTTTCAGCAGTAGAAGATCAAATTGTGGTAAGAAGAAAACCCAAGAATCAACCTCTCAAAGACTTGAGAGGTTGATTCTGGCCAGGAATGACTGAGGACATTAATTTATGGGTCTGTATACACCCGAACTTTCCATTCATATTGTTAATCTCACAAAAATTAATTTACTTCTTGTGTAAAGTTTTATGATAATAAGAGTACTGTTTGGCTCCAATATGAGGCAAAGATGAAAGGTGTAGTTGATATCTTACACATTTCATTTTTGTTTTTTTAAAAAAATTTGTATGAGCTTTACATGAATAAAAATAATTAAGCAAACTTGTTTTTTAGTTTTAGTTTTTTTAGTTTATTTTTTTTTTTTTGCTTTCCTTTCTGTCACAGCTGAGCAGCTGGGGTGTTGTGGTGTGGATCCAAAGGCAGACACAGGAGAGAAAACTAAGTATAACAAAAAGTGAGCTGTTTATTAAGGCTTATAGCAAAAACAAAAAAAGCAAGGCAAGGCGAACTGGGGAAAAGTTAAACTAAAACCTAAACTGGGATAAAATAAAACTAAACATGAAAAATATGACATAAACATGACCTGAACAGGAGCATGAGGAAAACCTGAGACCTGAAGAGACAAGACTCAGAGAACATATAGCGAGACAAACAGACTATTAACCCAACTAAAGCCATACTAATACACACAAATGTGACACAAGAATGTAACAATATTACCCATATATCATAAGAAATCAAAAAATAGAAAATAAACTCAAAAATGCTGCCCCCTGGCACTTTCAGGTGAGTCAGTGTGTAGCATGCCGGGCCAGCGGGGTCATAATTAAAAAGACAAACATTTTAGGTGTATTGTTATTTTACTTTTCTTTTTTTACATGTCAACAAAAACAATTATTGAAAATAACTGAAATATATAAGACTAAATTGCTCAAATGTAATCATTAATGTTTTCTGTCTTTAAAAGGTAACACAGCCATTTGGGTTGATCGGCATGCATTTGGCTGGAAAACTCAAAATCACTTTGAATGGAATCCAGGACATATGTGTACTATTGACTGTTTAACTAAATGGCCCCAAGCATATCCTTTAAACTCAAAGAGCACTGATGAAGTAACCCAGTGCACTCTTAAGTTATTCTATCAGTTTAAAGCACCCAAGCAGATTCTTATTGAACAAGGGAAGGCGTTTGTGAATGAAATAGCAGCTACAACATGCAAAAGATAAATCCATAATTTAGAGTATAGATTATTCCGCAATAATTGAACTCATTGACCAGTGCAGTTTAATCTTATTTTACCTGTATCATTACATTTTCTTAATGCAGATCAAAAAGAAAGTTAGCAAAATT